ACTGAAGAGTCTGGGGCGCAGGGGGCCTTTGGGATCTTCGCCCTGCGTAGAATTCCGGGACTATCTTCCCCTTGATCCTGGTGGCTCCGGGGCGAGCAGGAGGTAGAGCCCGACCGGGGAAGGTGAAGCCCCAGGGATGCTGGCTGCGAACCAGGTGTCCCGAAAAAACTTCGGCACCTGGTATCCCCCCAGCCCCCCCGAGAGGCTCAGCACTGGCGAAGTGCCGCGGGGCCAGGCAAGCACAAGCCGCGGGGAGGGGTCATTGCCCCGCCAGGGCGGAATCTCCATGGTTTTCTCCAGAGATGTCAGAGTTGTATTTCTGTGCCAGAGTGCCCAAGTGGAGATTTCTGGAGGGAAGTATAGGCAGGGATTTTAGGTTTCAGTATGAAATTAATCTCACATTTGCTTTTAATAGTAGTAATTAAATATAGCTGACTCAATTACGATGCTCTCAGTACAGTGTTTACAGGCATTAACATCTTTTGTATGCCTGGTGACCTCATCTGGAACACGGCTTGCACTTCTGGACTCCTCAGTGCAGGACAGATGGTTAAAAACAGGAAAGAAATCAAAATAGATTAATGAAAGTGGCTGGAATAGAAAGGTTTATTTGAAAGGAAATAATAGAGAAGATAAGCATGCAGATAAACGAATGGCGGTGATAAAGGAGAGGCGATAAACGTGCTCACAGCTGCAAACATGGGCAGGGTATAAAATCCAGGAGAACAAAAGGAATAATTTAATGTTCTACATCACTGTTAACTGTTACTATGAGGGGGAGGCTGTTGTCCACATTATCACTCACAGCCTGTTGGTTTATCTGGGGAGGGGGACACAATTCCCTGGGGTCTGGTGACAGGGACGGGGGTTCAAAAGGAGCCCGTACTGGTGCCTGATGGCAGTGGGGGTCAGTCATTGCCACGCAGGTGCAGTTTTATTGGGAAAGAAAAAATACCTTCAGCGGTTTCTTTGGCTCTCCACATCAGTCATTCCGAGTGCAGCAATGTGCTGTTACTGTTATTTAGTGCATGGAGGGGTATGTCACGAAGTGAGTATCAATCTGTTGGAAACGTGTCCGAGCCGCGGAGTGCGGGCCCCTGCCCGCGGAGGCCAGGGGGGCAGGAGCAAAGTGCGGGCTGACCATCAAGTCCAGGGGGCTGAGGCACGGTCCCGGGGTGGGCTGTGCTGGGCTGCAGGCACAGCATGGGAGTGACAGCGCTTGCCCTCCTGGGGTCCTCGCTGCTTGCAGGGGTGAGGGCTCTGGCTGTTCTCTGGGGGTGGTTTTCACTGCTGTGTTTGCTCGCCCATGTGCCATTGGCAGCGCCTGCAAAGCAAGGCAGCGTTGTGTGTTATGTCAGGGTCGCTGGGCGTGCGTTTCTGCAGCAGGAGTCTGAAGCTTTCAGGTATGATGCACCAGGCAGACAAAACCAAGCTAATTTTAACAGCTGTTTGCTCCAAGCCATTGTCCGCATCAAGGAAGCTTTGTGAAGAACAGTGTTCTCGTGCAGAGTGTAAACTGTAAGGCAAGGCAGGTTCCCCCCTGTCTCCGGGGAGGTTGTCTGTTCAGCACCACTCGAGCTGACGTGGGGGTGTTCTGGTTAACAGAGCTGCAGGGCACATCCCTCGCTTGCTGTCAGAGGGTTTTTCTTGGTCTGTAGCAGTGCTCAGGTAGAATCTCTCTTGCGGAGGGGCATTTTGTGATTAACTTTGGGGCCCTCAGTCCAGCAAACTTACCCCCAAACAGAAATCCCGTGCAAACTGCGGACATCAGGTGATGTCCAACCTGACCAGCGGCTGCAGCCTAGTGTTTCATCACTTTCAGCAGAGGGGTGGGAATTTGTTCCCGTCTTCCTAGGGAAGTGTCTGCCCCATCTGCACCCCAGTAGCCATGTAGGAGCATGGCTTCTGGAAGCCCTGAGGGCAGGTGGGAGCTGCAGTAGGTTTCATCTGTGTGCGCCCAAGAAGAAGAAGAGTGTGGTGTTTTCTCTGTGGTAAACAAATGTTACCGATGCTGTGTTCTGTTTTCTTTGGAAGGGAAACCCCTGCTGGGTTATATCAGAGGCTGTTATGAAACTGCTGCTTGCACAAATTATTGATGCTCACTTTGGAAGCAGACGTGCAGGTCCATGGTTTGTGGTCTGCTGTGATTTTGCAGTACATTCCAAGGTGCACTCTAGCTGTAGGCTGGGTGGTTTGCTGTCCGATTCCTAAAGGGCTGTCCTGCAGGCCGTGGTGTCCTCTGGACACCAAAGCTCCTTTACCATAGGCAAGGGAGTGTTAATGGAGAAGGCACAGAGGGATATGGACTCAGGGACGGAGCTGTGTCTCACGCGAAGGGTGAGAAGCCGATCTGATGATACAGTATTTCTGCGTGCGAGTTTCTTTCTGAAGGATGCCCTAGTGCCTTGGCAAGATACCGCAGGACTCGGAAAACGCTGGCATTTGTCTTGTGTGTGTTGGGCACAGAAGCAAAGGCGTCTGCTGACAGGCCAAGGGGTGGCCTGCACACAGTAACTTGGTATTTGCTGCTGTGCTCTGCGTCTGAGACAAGGCGACGAACCCGTCAGGAGCCGCGCTTTCAGCACGGCTCTCCTGCCTGCCCAGGGGCTGACGGCATGCAGAAACCCTCAGAAATCCCCTGCTTGGGAAGGCACTGACCGAACGTCTCTGGCCTCTCTACAGATGGACCGAGTAAGGAAGGCTGCTAAACACTGTTGGTAGAACTTTCCCTTTGAAACAGGAAGCATATCCATGGCCTTTGTTAACATTCAGGACTTCAGTTGTCTGTTCTCCCCGTTGGTCATACTGTAGCCACAGCGTCACCTTGCCAGGTGCAGACCCGTGATGCTGAAGCTACCTAGAACCAGTCTGAGCATTCCTGAGCTTCCCTGCCTGGGTAGAGTTAAAACTGCCCAAGCCTTTGTGCCCAAGCTCCTCTGAGGTCTTCTCCAGCCTTTGCATCTGGCTGTTCTGCCGAAGTGGTGCCATTTGGTAGGTGAACGCCGTGCAGCCAGTGGAGTTGGCCATGGTACTTTTTGGCTGTCAGCTGAAATCGTAGCCCAGATACTGAAGTCAGGCAGCCTGGCACAGCTATGCAGTGCTTAGGTGCCACGAGCGTGGAGAAATCAGGAACAATAATCTGCATTTTTAAGTTGAAGGAATGAGCAAGAACGTTGCCCCGCTTCGGTCACTTCAGCGCAGCACAGTAAGCTCACCCGCTTGGGGGGTGGTGTGGGCACCTGCGGTAGCTGTGCATGGGGCAGTGTCGGCCAGGCTGTTGGGGGAGGGGGGAGTTTTTTTCAGGAATGGTGTGGCCAGCAGGAGCAGGGCAGTGACCGTGCCCCTGTGCTGGGCACTGGTGAGGCCGCCCCTCGAATGCTGGGTTCAGGGTTGGGCCCCTCACTCCCAGAAGGACATGGAGGGGCTGGAGCATGTCCAGAGAAGGGCAACGGAGTTGGGGAGGGGTCTGGAGCCCAAGGCTGCTGGGGAGCGGCTCGGGCCCTGGGGGTGTTCAGCCTGGAGGAGAGGAGGCTGAGGGGAGCCCTTACCACTTCTTAAAACTGACTGACAGGAGTGGGGAGCCGGGGGGGTGGTCGGTCTCTGCTCCTAGGGAATGGGCGATGGGACGAGGGGAAACGGTCTCAAGTTGTGCCAGGGTAGGGTTAGGTTGGACATTGGGAAAAATTCCTTCCCTGAAAGGGCTGTCAAGCCCTGGAAGGGGGGCTGCCCAGGGAAGGTGTCGAGTCCCCATCCCTGGGGGTATTTAAAAGCCGGGCAGAAAAAGTGCTTAGGGCCAGGGTTTAGTGGTGGGATGGCAGGGTTAGGGGAGTGGTTGGCCTTGATGATCTTAAAGGGCTTTTCCAACCTAAATGATTCTGTGATTCTGTGCTGTAGAGGCTGGAGGGGCTGGAAGGGTCAGTGTCCAAGTGACCTCTGGCTGTCACCCGTATTTTACTCAGTGAGTGTGAAATGCAGCATGAAAGCCAGAAATCCTCAAAGTCAGAAGGAGTTTAAGCCTGTCTTGACAGCGCATACCTTCTCGTGGTTACCTGCAGTGTTGTCATTGCTGGATGTGCTTCAGTGCTTGTGCCTGCCCTGCTCTGGGGGGATGCGCTGCAGCCTTGCTCGTGCATAGGAAGCGGTCGCCCTGCCATGGTACGTGCATGGCTTCTGAGGCCATCTTGTTTTTTTAAGGTGAAACTACAATGTGTTGTGTTATTTGAGAACTGGTGTGCGGCTGTGATGGGGTATAGGCATGCCCGGGTGCCAGCACAGCCCACCCGCAGCAGTGGAATGGGATTTGGTGGCCTGTGAAGCAATGCAGAGCCTTTTCTCTCTCTGCCCCTGTGTGCTGGTCCAGGTTGGTGCTTGCCGGGCACTGTCTGAAAGTACCATATTTGGCTTAAGATTTCTAGCCAGTATCTTTAAGGCATTTGGGCCGTGAAGCTCCCTGGTGGGGTGAGAGGAGTCTCCTAACGGGGCTGCTGAGCCAGTGCACGCCAGCAGCCCCTCGTGACGGAGCTTTGCGGCGCCTGGAGGAGAGGTGCCAGCTCCCCTCCCATGGCTGGGTTGCTTCCAGCAGATGCTGGGATCTGCTCTCCGGGTTTTAGATCTGGTGATCCCCAAATGGAGAAGGGATGGTAACCCAACCTAGCTAGCCAAAAAAACAGGGCAAGAGGGGCTTGCAGTGCTATCCTGAGATAACTGAGCTGGCAGGAAAGGGGCAGGGACAGAAAGCGTCCTCAGTGAAATGTCCCTCGTGGAGGGGCTTCATGCTGGAGGCTGTGGTGGTGACAGAGGTCAGCGTGGGGTAACACACGGGCCCTTCGCTGCAGCTCAGGCGAGCCCAGTGGAGTGCGACTACACTGCCGTGTCCCCCAATCACGTCCCCTGTTGCTGCAGGGGTGTGGGGTGCCTGGGTGAGGGTGAGCACCAGCACCTCTGTCATGTGGCTCTGCACTGAGCTGATGTTTTATAGCTCCTGATGCATGGCGCTTCTGATGGGGAGCATGAAGAAACGGGGAGGTGTTCTCAGGAGCTTCTCTTGCCTGTGGCTGGGACCCTGTGGCTGGTGGAGCCCGGCTCTGGCCGAGGTGCAGGCTCCCCAGGGCACAGCTGCTGCCTGTGAAGTGATGCTGAACGATAGCCCTGGTCTCCGGCCTCCTGCAGGTCAGATTGAAGCCCGATGGGAGCTGGAAGGAAGCTAGAAGGGATCCTGGTTTAGGATCTAGCTGAGGTGACAGCCAAAGACACCAGGGTCCTCAGCCTGGTTTGAAATGGACTTGGCAAGCTCTGGTCGGAGTGATTTTTGTGGAGGAGGGGTGGAGAATTACAGGACAGGCGCTGAAACGTCAGCGTGGGCAGACAGCAGCAGAGTCAGCGTGGGTCTGTAGGACAGCGTCGCGTCAGCTAAAGGCTTTGTCTGCCTTGCTGTAGCATGGAGGGGGCGGTGTGTTTGTGTTACGCTGTGTCGGCACTTTGCAGTGTGCTGCTGTGTCCTTTTTGATCCTCTCTGAATGGCCCAAAGGCAGATTCACTGCAAATAAGCACTGCCTTTAGGTCTGCCCGTGCAGCCCTGCTAACCCTGCCCACAGCTTTGTTTTTGGATTTCCTGTGAACATTAACAGAAGTTTTAGGTGAGCGTTATGTACTGGCAGCACGCTCCGACTCTTGCTGATGCTTCCCCCAAAGGGCTTAACTGCTTCCAGAGCTATTCTGCAGCACGTTCTGCAGTAGATGCCACGCTCTTCACTTCCACTCTGCTTTTATCAGGCCACATTTTCTACTGCGGTAGCTTGATGAGCACTTGTGATTTTCTATGCCTTTGTTTAATGATGGTGTGATGAGTCCCGTCTCACAAATTGGCAGTGGTTTTTGCACGCTGAAGGCTGGCTGACTTGAGAGAGCCCCTGCTCCTTTCTGCAGGGAGCATCACTTCCATCTGAAAAGGTCTCTGGGGTAGCTGGAAGGGCTGTGCACTGACAAAATAACACCGTTTTTGTAACCCTGTTAGAGACTAACATAGCCCAGATTTTCTGATGAGATACACTGGTAGTGCCTGCAAGTGCTCTCTGCTGCTTGCGGTGTTTCTGGGGTCCAGGGCGTACTCGGGCTGCTTCACATCAGGATTTTTACCACAGTTTCTTAGGGATCTAGGAGATCTCCCTGTATGGCGCTTTCCAAATCAAGCAGGTTTTCCTCGTGTGAAATGGGTCGGTTTTTTTCCTCCGAGCTGACACTCCTGCTTGTTCAGAGGAGCTTTCTGGGAATACTTAGCTCCTGTTTCCATGCAACAACCCATTTTTCTTCCCTGACACGCACTAACTATGGATGTTCTGATTGGAAGTGTGTCTATGTAACCTTTCATTTGCATACTTCTCATCAACAGCTGAATTTCATTACCTTCTAACTCCCTTTTGCTTTTTTTTACAGATAAACTGTGTGACTTTCCCCCATCCTGACGTAATGCCAGAGCAGCAGTTGCTGAAGCCTTCAGAGTGGAGCTACTGCGATTATTTCTGGGTAAGTAAGCAGCCAGCCACATGCCATATTGCAGCTCCCAAGCTTCTGAAAAAGTGGAACAAACAGCTTGATTTGTGGTATGAGGTGGAGGAGAATTTGGGCTGAAATACAGTGCTGTAGGGCAGCACCAGGGAGGCTGAGGATGGCTGTGAAGGTCAGGCGGAAACCAGTCTGAGATGTGGGCGACTCGGAAGAGTGTCCAGAAGGGCATGGTCAGCTGTCAGGAGATGGCTTTGGTCAGGAAATGGGGGGGATGCAGGACAAACCACACATCCCAAAACTCCTCGTCCGAAAGGGCTGTGCAGCAGCAAGAGGGGTGGTGGGGTGGCTGGTATGGGGTGTTATTTCAGTGTTTCCCAGAGCATGAGAGCTTGGGGTGCACGGGGAGGCTGGGGCTATCATGTTTAAACCAAGCAGATAGTCACAGGCTTTGTGTTAAACTGTAGAACTCGCTCCCAGGGATATTCTGGAGGACAGATGATAAGCGACTTTTTTAAAGGATGATGTTTGTGAAGGACAGGCCATTGGTAGCTCTTAGCTTGATGGGTTTTCATGCAGCCTTCAGCACAGGAGGGCTCCAGTGGCTGTGCTCTGTGTGCCCACTCGTGCTTCACTCCTCTTTTCAGGATCCCGAATCAGATTAAAATGACACAGTGGTCCTTTAAGGGGGGAGCTGATAGAAAAAATCTTCCATTGGAAATCTGCTTTTTGGGGGGTGGGGGGGATACTACCTCAGCAGTGAAGATTCTATGAATTCCACGTGTGCTTTCAGTTACCAGTTAATGAAGCATTTCCATTTAAAAAAAAAAAAAAGTTTCACTTACAGAAAGATGTAGCTGCTGGATGTGCAGCAGCACGTCCTCTCATGCGTGCTTAGAGGGGCTGAGGTGCTGCGACCGCCGGCTCTGACTGGAGGAGGGCTCTTGGGGCCACTTGGGCGGCTGTTGCTGGGAGCTGCGTGTCTGTGGATTTGATCCCCGTATCTTTTCCTTGAATTTCCTTTTTCCTTCCAGGCTGACAAGAAGGATTCACAAGGGAACAATACCGTGTCGGGATTTGAAATTCTTCTTCAAAAGCAACTTAAAGGGAAACAAATGCAAAAAGAAATGGCAGAGTTCGTTCGAGAAAGGTAATTAGCACTTTGCTTTCAAATTAACTACTTATGGCATTTTTTTTTTTCCCCGATTTAGATATTCCTTTGGTACATTAATGATATAGCATAAACCATGTAAAAGATATGCTGCCAGTGTTTAAGGAACATTTAGTAAGTCTAGGAACATTTAATAAGTCTTTAATGTCCCATCACACTCTCCAGTCTGCCCCAGCTCTCGCTCATGGTTCCTGCTGTGCCTGTCTTAGTTGTGTTGCATGCAGGCTGTCCGTTTGGACAGAGGGAACCAAGAAGGTTTTAAGCTGCAGATTCAAGGAAAAAACATGGGCATGGAAAAAACAGAGCAGAGATGATATTTAGAAAGGAAATATTTTGTCTGAAAAATAGAGAAGCAATTTGTTGACATGGAGCATAAGCAGTTTCCTAGATGAAGATGTAAAAAGACATCGCTTGGGACTTAAGCTAGTTATGGAGCTGAATTACACAAACAGATACTTAGAGTGAAGCTCAAGTCATGATGGCAAATGTCGCTACTAGAAAAGGCAAGGGTGCTCTTAATTGTCTGTTGCTCTGCTGACGTAGGAAGCATGCTGGGCACCAAACAAGCGCTGTATAGATGCTCAGTTCATCCACGTACTGGAGATGATGGGATGTCATTACTCATAAGCAGTGCCACTGTTACCTGAAATCCCGTGTCGTGTGTCCAAGCCAGCCTAAATCATCTTGAGGATGGCTCTCAGGACTGGAGAGCAACCCATAGGGAACAGGGGTGCTCACTGCCAGGAGGAAGGCAGAGAACACTCGCGGATGCTCTCTCCTGGAGGCAGTTGCAGCAGATGAAGGAGCTGCTGTCCTCTGTGGTTGCCTCTGTGCTGGTGCTTGCTGCCAAGTTGGGATTTGCCTTCCTGCTCTGCTGCTACGGGCACAGCACAGCTGTGCTGATGTAAATCAGCAGTGGTGGGAGCAATGAACGGGCAACAAACAGGTACCCGCATTGGCATTGGGGGGCAGTTCGATTGGGCAGAACTTGCAGAGAGTTGCTTTCATTTGTGGTTTGTTTTCTTTCTGCCTTTAGTTGTCTTTTTTTTAGTACTAGGGATATGGCAGCAGTGGAGAATTGCAAAGTATAGCAGAGGTGATAAAGGCAGTCTGGTGCAGGAGGTGCAGAGTGCCCAGCACCCACGTGTGGTCCCCAATGCCTTTGACAAAGACCGTCCGAGGGGCTGTTGCCTCGATGGAAAAGTGCGACCACAGGATGTGGGTGGAAGAAAGGACCAGCTGGCAAAGGGAGAATACAGTAGAGAAGCAGACTCGGGCATGCAGAATTGTGATAGCTGTGGCTAGAGAAAAGAGGAGAAAAGCTGCTCCAAAGAAAGTAACATATAATGAAATTTGACAGAAACAAAAGAAAGCAGCATTCAGGAGGGAGGGGAGGTTGGCATGAAATGAGACAGCCAGTAGGGAGCAGCTCTGATGCTGGGCAGAGCACGTTCATGTCCTCGGCAGAGGGAGGAGTAGGCATGTTACAGAAGAAAGACGGAAAAGATTCACTGTGTGCTGGAAATAAAGGAGGTTTGGAACTGAGTGTGAAGGGGATCTAGATGGGAGTTACCAAAGATGAATGTTCTTTTTTCTTCTGTTTGGAACAAATGATTCAGGATCACTCTGCGTGGAAAAGGAGGGGGACAGCATTGAGCTGGAGAGGTTATGCACAGACATGAGAATTGAGGCCACTAGGGGAACCTTTACGTTCCCAGCTAAGAGGGAAGGAGGACTGATAAGATTTTCTTGATGACCTTCAGGTGGCTCAGGGAATACAAGACCATGTTTAACAAGGGGTTTTCATGTCCAGAAAAATTCTCTCCATCTGAACAACCAGCCTCCTGGGGATGAGGTTCAGGCAGCTAATAAAAACAGCTTTAAACAGGAAGCTGGGATGGGACACGGTAATTGGATTTCTTCATCAAATAACCAACAACTAAGTGAAATTTAGTTTATCAAGTAGATGCTTTTAGAGGAGCTACTTTTAAATAGCAATCTTAGAGTGAGCAATTATGTGTTTATTCGGTTCTTGCTGACAAAGGTAGGGTTATAATACAGACCTTGAATTTTAATACAACAGACCCCAAGAAAGAGAAGAAAATAATCAGTAAATAGACTGAACTGAAAGATCAAGGATGTGGGTGTGAAAGAAGGAATTACTTTAACTCAAAAGTGAAAATATGATCCAGCATTTGCATTCAAGTAAGCACTGCAAAACAACCAAGAAAATCTGCAGGCTGCCCTGAATAGCATCAGTCCCTCCAAGTATGAGAAGGAGTGGTTTTGTTAGCAAAGGAACACTGCCCTGCGCTTTTGGCCATGCACTCTTTAACTGAGCTGGGCTACGCTTAGAAAATTTAAAATAGATAGCAGATTATTTAACTACATGAGAAGAAATGCAAGCCAGAGAGTGGCTGAGGTGAGCCCGATGAAGGTCTGTCCAGCCCAGCGGCTTTCGTCTGACCATGGCAGTACTAAGTGCCCAAGAGGGAAAGGGCTCGAAAGTCCCTGTCCTCCTGGCTCCCAATAACCAGAAGCTTGGGGATTTGCAGAGCCAGAGCTGGCCTTAGGTTTGCCATGTTCAGCAGATACCTGTGAACATCTTCCACTGTTGGTCTCATTCTTTTGAGTCTTTCTGTATTTTCGACCACTGCAACAATTTGTAGCAGACTTCTGCAATTTATACACTACAGGAAAAGTTAATTCTGCTTCTGTTGTCTGCTAATTTCATTGTTGCCTCCTAATCTGGAGAAATTGTGTAAAAAGACTCGCGGTCACTGTCCTCATGTGGTGACAGTTGTGTAGAGGGCTGTCAGATATCCTCCATCGCCTTTTCTCTGTGTTCCCTGTGTTGTCTTTATTTAGTTCCTTCTTGCATGGCAGTCACATCAGATCACCTTCGCCTCCCTCTGTAGCTCTCTAATTTTTCTTCACCCATTATAACACAGTGTGACTGAAACTGTTTCAGTGTGGGCACACAAAGTACTTTATTTAAAAAAAAAAATTGTAAGAGAGCAGGGAATAAGCATCCAAAGAGCAACTGGAGTAATAAGTCAGGACAGCATGGGTCAAAATGCACTTACAACCTGTAGTGCTTCCTACACAGGGGGTGAAATGCTGAAAGTTTTCAAACAAGTTAGTAGGAACAAGAAACTTGGGGTTTTTTTGGCGTGAAGCTGCAGTAACTGCAGAAGGGCCATTGGGATCTCTGGAGGCACACTCTAGAGCTTGCCGAGTGTTTATAGCGTCCAGGACCAGGAGGCGAATGTTTTTTTCCCTCTTTGAGGTATGTCTTCATCTTGGTTTTTAGCCTCTTCTGAGGCGCTCAAGGTGTTTGCCCACAGAAGATGATGGCAGGACGCCAGGCTGGGGTGGAACTATTTATGTCTGCTACAGCAGTACCAAAGAAGAATTTCCCCGGGTTTTCAATTCATTATTTTCACAGCAAACCTTTATGATGGAAGACGGTTATTCCTCTGTTCATGAGACAAAGGCCCAAGAGGCCGATTCGGCGTGGGTCCATCTGTACGGGCAGCTCAGAACAGTCGGCAGGCCAGCTAGCACCTTTGCACACCTACCATCCATGAGTAAACCACTCCAAAGGCATCCTTAGGCCAAACCTGAGCAGGAATAAAGTTGCATGGTGAAGGATGCTTCCATTGGGAACTCCTGGTAGCTGAGGCAAAAGCAGCGAGCCCTGGCTTTGGGCTGGATGCTTAGGTGCTTATCTCAGCTATGTTTAGGCATTTGCATCTTCATTATAGCTGATCTGTGCTCCCTTTCCAGTCCATAGAGATTGTTGCTTCAGAGATAAGATTGGTCTTATCATAACGTAGGTATTTAGAGTAGGTCAGATGAAACGTGCCTGGGTAAATCCCTTTCCACAGTGAGGTCCTAACCACAGTGCAGCTTTTGGCCTTTGCTGGTCTCGCTGTGGCAGGTGTGGGGAGCTGGCTGGCCATGTTCCGTGCGAGGGGGACAGAGAGGAGCCCACATGCAGGGTGAGGTCTGTGGTTGTACCATGCTGTACGGAGCTGGGCATTGCTGTGGGCCTCAGCCAGCTGCATCCCACAGGGTGACACCCAGATCGTATCTTGCGCAGCCCAGAGTATCAGACCCCTCTTAGCTGGCTCAGGGCACCCCTTTTGTCCTGAACGTGCCACACATAACAGTCGTTGCTCAACTAGCAACTGCAAATGTGCCTGCCAAAAATATCCCACCTTCTGTCTTCTTACTGGAAGGAGATGGATTTCAGACCAGGTTTCTCCCCTGCGAGAACTCAGGGAGCCAGGGGTTGGTTTCAGGCACGATGCATGTCACCTCTGAACCAGTGGCAGCTCTTTCCTTCCCTGCTGCACAGCCGGCATTTACCCTTGTCCCCTCACTCAACAGCTACGCTGCTTCTCCCGGCAGCCATTCCCACGGTAGTTGTGTGCCATTGGCTTCCCTCATCTGCACCCCACCGCTGGCAAGCTCGGATCCTGTTCCTGGTGTGGTGCTGCTGAGAGAATGGCGAGGAGGACAGGGCAGCAGTGGGATGCATGAAAGGCAGGGGCTGCACAACCACATGTCGGCAACAGGAGCTCCTGCCACATCTTCACCAGCTTTGTTGTCTGTAATGGGGAGCGGGAGGCATTCGATGTCCCTGGGAAAGGTGCAGTCCAGCACCCCAGACCTCATTTGGATTCCTCCTGTGTCACTGCATTCCCTCGTCTTTGCTGCAGGGCCATGCGACCTCATGCTCAGCAGCAGGCTGGAGCACGTGCTTCCCCAGCGAGCCCAGTTTTGCAGACAGTCTGTGCTGCACAGTAGAAACACTTTGTCCTTGTTATTTGCTCTCCAGAATTGTAGCTTTTCCTACTAATTTTATCGCACATGCTGTCCTGCGTATATCCCTGCTCCTGCCGTTGAGTTTTTAGCATATGGAGGGGAGAGATGAATCCTGAAACTGGTGCTGCCAAGCCCTGGAAACCGAAAGGAAAATTCCTGTGGCAAGATCTGTTAAAATGCAGATAATTTCTATAAATTATGTGTGTGGGTTTCTGCCTTAAAGCTTACTTACTGCTATCTTTTTATTTTCTCTCTCTCCCTGTGTGAGTGTAGGATAAAGATTGAGGAGGAATATGCTAAAAACCTGTCCAAACTGTCTCAGAATTCCTTGGCTGCTCAGGAAGAAGGGTAAGTGTGTCTGCGACTTCTGCAGAAGACAAGAATTTTAACATAAAAGGCATTCCTCCCACATAGGTACAGGTATTTTTCCTGAGCACTCCCATTGAGTAGAGGTTTTTTTAGCTTGGTATCCTGGGTGTGTTGAGGAAGATAGAATTGCTTTGGAATATTTTTCTTTTGAAGATGTTCATGGTAAATTTTTAGGAAGACCTGCATAAAACCTTGCATTTCCAGTAATGTGTTTATGCTGTCCTTGTTCTAGCCAGCACCGGTTCCTTTAGGGGTTAGCATGTAGAAGTACTGAATTACTTTAAATAAGGAAGAATATGTAGAATATAGATGCTGCTGTTAGTAGATCCATAAGGTCAGGCCAGAAGAATTGGAGCAGCACAGACAGAGGAAGGAAGAAGTCGTCTCTTCTCATCTTGGGTCTGGCCCTCCAAGAAGAGAGCAAGTTGTCCCTTATTTACAGCTCGTTCACACTTTGGAAGTTATTAAGAAATATTAGGCAATGCACTTCAGACGACATTGTAATTCTTCGGTAATGATGGAAAGACGCCACTCCTGAAGGATTAGAAGCTTTTGGCTCTGTCCAGCCCAAGCCCTCCAGGCACTGGCAGCCCAGTGGGAATGGCTGTCCTCACCCCAGGCCCTGCGTCCCGGGCAGCACAGCACCCCGGGGCGTTTGCTCAGCTTCCAGGATGCAAGGGCAGAGATAGTGAGAGGCTGCTCCTTCTCTGAGCACCTACACTGATGATGGCTTCTGTTCGGCTTTCGCCTGTAGGTGTGGGTGTTAAGCTGCTCCTAGAAAAGCTAAAACCGCTTTCTTCCACGTCCTCCTCCCACTTTCTCCTACCCCCAGTAGGTGAAGGGGGAAATGCCTGAAAAAATTAAGGGGAAGGAAACTGGGGGAGAGTAGGTGAAAAGAAAGGGAATGAGGACCAAAGCATAAAGAGATGTTGAAACAGGGAAGTGAAGAGAGCATGAAGCAGAGTGCAGGGAGCTGGAGCACTGCCCAGTGGTGCTCTGCCTGGAGAATTGGCAAGGGGAGGGAATGGAAGGTGCCGTGATGGCCAAATTGGCTAGGCCTAGGAAGAGGCTGGTGAGAAGATCCTAGTTATAGGTGAGGCCCAGGAAAGGGAAAAATTCCATTTAAAAAAATGAGGGAGGAAGAGCAGCCAACAGGAGGATTTGAAGGAGTCAAAAGTGGGACTGCAGCCTAGCACACTCACGGTAAACCTTCACCAGGGTCGTCTTCTCATTTCTGAGGAGGGGTCTGTCAGAAGGCCCTGTGAGCTGCTCTGTAAACACACACCAGTTACTACTGCTGGCTTTGTACTCCACAGAGCATTTTCCAGTTTTGCTGTTCAGCAGTCTGTGGGGTTGACACAAAGAATGGGCTGTCCCTCCAGGGTCCTCTGCCCTCCTCTGGGGGTAGGGACACCCACCGTCACGTATGTAACTGGGACACAAGGGTGATGAGGAGGGACTGATCTGTGACACCAGGATGGTCCTGTCCAGGTTGCTGTGAGTACAGTGCTGCAGCACGTACGCAGAAGGTGATACAAGCTGTGCTCATTTAAGTCGTTGTGGTTGGATAAGAGATGCTCAGCAGACTGAAATGCCTTGTTTACTTACATAGATCAGATAAAATAGTACCAGTGAGAATGGGATGGTGGGAGGGAACCTCAAGGTGGGACGGGGGAAGGAGGAGAGCTGGGACCACTTACGTGGGTGGAACAGTCTCAGGTTGTGTAGCTGTGATGAACACCGTGCTTGAGGACTCAACTCATCGGAGCACTGTCAGAGATTACAATCATCCTTTTGAATTTTTAGGCTGCCAGGAAGGGGCAAATATTACTATGTTTGAAAAGGGGGTAGGGGAGAGAGAAGAGGAGCCGGGAAACTGTAGATCAGTCAGCTTTATATAACCTGTGCAAAGTGGTAGAACAAACCATCGAGCACTCAGCGGAGAACTAAGGTGATGATCAATTACTGTGGATGCATACAGAACAATGTCAAACCAGCCTAAATTCCTCTGGTGATGGAATAACAGAAGAAGTCAGCATCACAGCTCTTAATTTAGTATAGCTTTTTGCAATGGGAGATTCTTGTAGGCAGGCAAGAGAAGTGTGGCCTAAATAAAGCCAAAGGTGCAAAACTACGTAAGAAATCATACCCGCTGCTTACAAAGTGCAGAAAATAGCTGTGGAGTGAGATCCCATAAGGTTTGTCCCAAGTCCAGATTTTTTTCAATGTTTTTGTTAATTACTTACGATAGAATAAATAATGGGTTTACCGTACCCAGCGGTGAGACAGAGCTCAGAGGGATGGTGTGTGACATTTGGATAAAAGACTGCGATTCAGAATTATTCTGTTAAACTAGAGAAGTGAAATGAAAAAGATGAAGATGCTTTTCAAGGAGGACGAAGTACCAGGTTTTGTACTTTCACAGGATGTGGAAGCTACACTTACATAACAGTTTGTGGGAGAAGGATCTGGCGATAGTGAATCACAGCTTATTCATCAACAACTTCACACTGCTGTCTAAAAAAGCAATCATGCTGAGATATGTAAG